GGTTTGATCTATGTGGTGTAGCCAACGTCGGTTTGTAGTACACGTGGTAGTTTTTAGAGATGGGTTGGTAGAGTATGTATGAAGTGTGGTGAGGTTTTGGTTACAAGGGTGGATGGTTTGATTGGGTCGATGTGTGTGCTGTGTTTCCCCCTTAAGGAAAAGTTTGACTTAGCCACTTTGAGATTACCCAAGAGGCTTCTCAAGATGGTGGATCATCTTGGCAGGGGGGATAGAACCACATTTGGTCATATGAGGCTCGTTATGACCCTATGCTATTCAGTATGAACGTGCACGTGCAGGTGCCAAACAAATTACAATTTGATGTTTTTTTTGGCGCTGTTGCGCCTGTTGCGTTGCACGACAGTCAAGGCGCTGTGCAACCTGACCTCACCTTTTGTTGTTGCGGTACTTACCGCAACACAGTGTCTAATGCTGATTTTTGTTGTGTGTTGCAGAGCAACACACCAAAAAACATGCTTGTTATGGTGCGGCGAGTTTCTGGCACAGGGTTGGATGAATAAATGAGCTGTGCAATCTACACCACATATTGGCAGGTCAATTATATGTGAGTCTTGTGATCTGATATGTTTCTGATTAGCTGGCTGTGATACACCATGCTGCAACAACATCTATTCTTTTCTGTGGTGCATTAAGTGTCCGCAATCCTCACTTTGGAACCTCAATACTAAAGCCCAAATATCTTCTGCAGTACTTTTCTCAATCCACGTTTGACCTCATGTCAAACCTACCCCAAACACAGCAGTCACTATTCTTATCTGTGAGTCATCTTAATACCAGGCCTTTTTCTTCTTTTCCATTCTTTCTACTTTTTTCATTCTTGCTGCGGCACTTGCACATGGGACAAATTCTTCTTTGTCTAATCACCACATAGACAAAGGAGGTCTTCCAAGATTCAGTAGATCATCATCCTGGTGTCTAAGGGTTTCCCTCCTGAACTCTGCACTGTATGATGTGGATACAGATTCTTTTGATCCTTCTGAGGCACCAAAAACATGTCATTAGAGGCCAAAATGTGTGTACAGTTGTCTCTGAAATAACCCATACCTTTTTATGGAACCCAAAAGGTATGGGTTTTCATAGAGTATGTGTTATCGCAAGGCTGGCTCAGCTGCGCTAGATTAACGGGTAGCGCAGCCATAGCGCAACGGAGCACCGCTTTGTTGCACAGACGCAAACCGGCAGCGGGGTCCGCGTACCGCTTTGCTTTTCTGGCTTGATGAGTACCGCGGACCACGTACCGCTTTCTAGGTCCAAGGGGGCCAGAAGCGGGATATCAGCTTTGCTTCTGTCCCCAACCAACCAGACACATCCTAGCCCACCTCATCTCGAAAATATTCCAGGTCAGCAGGAATATGGCTGACAATATGTCCGGAATATCACTCAGAGGATGGTGTTTCCCTCACATCATCACTCGGTAAGCAAGATTGATCCCTCGTCAGCAATCATTTGCTCACCACGGTTTATTTGACCATTAATTCAGCTCTACTGATGTTCACCCGTTGGATCAAATAATCATAAAGTCAGCGTCTTTGCTTCATCTCATCCCGTCCTCAAGGTTCATCATATTGATAATATTTCCATTCAATTTTCAACCTCGTTTTCCAATAATTCCCTAATAATTTAATCCCTCCTTCCATCCAAACCCCAATTTACTATTACACTTATAAACCTCGTTCTACCCATTCAGATCAACCTATTCAATCTCTGCACGTCTGTTTAGAATGCCTGTCCAAAGCACCTTACGACTCAGTTCCGGATACGAGACTGACGACAGTGTCCCCTGCCGTTCTGGGCGCATCACGACACCTGCTCGTCAAGCACCTGGGATGATCTGTCCCCCATCCGACAGCCGACAATCACTCCCAACCTCGTCGTTTACCTTTTCTGTCAACAATCGTGCCGTACCGGCAGCCAAAGGTAAGGGCAAGTGTGCCCGATCCGAATCAAATGCTGCAAGTGGAACCAAATTAGGCGAGTCCGATAACGACACAGACTCGCCTGTCATTGTCAGTACAAACATACGCAAGATAGCTCCTGTCCGCCGACCAAAATCGACCACCAGCTCCAGTAATGTCAAAAATAAGACCACAACAACCAAGAAGTCCGCTGGACCATCGCAACGCAAGAATACTGAGGCCGAGATGAGCTTAGTGAGTCAACTTAAGCATGCACTAAATTTGTCCCAAATTTTGATTGGAACGAATGACGAATTGCTTTGATGTAGGCTTTGGCCACCAACGCCGGCGCGATTCCCAATCTCAATCAGGACTCTGACGACGAGAACCAGCGTGTACGCAAGCGAACTCGGGAATCGGACAAAGAAGAGCCTGAATACGACCCACCCATTCTTTTCTTTGGGAAGCCCTTCTGTCGCCCAACTGATGTAAGTTGATTTGGTTCCTTTCCAAGAACTCTGAGAGCTGACATGCATATCATTTATTCCTTTCTAGGACCCATCTGGACCTCCGTTGACGCTTACATGCAAGTTTTGTCACAAGGAGGTCCGAATCAGTGGCAGTTTGAAATCAAACCTTCATGTTCACCGTGATGGATCCAGCCAGGGTGATGAGAACAATTCAGGTTGCCCTGGTCGTAGAAAAGCTATATCGGCTGGTGCAAAGCTTCCCCCCACTCAAGCTGAGATTAAGGCCAGTCAAATCCGTGATGCTCATGCAACCTCGCTGGAACAGTTTCTTCTTCCCATTCCTGAGTTCGATAATCTGGTAGTCAATCAGATGATTAGTCTATGGCAGGTTCACAACAGCCTGCCATGGACCATAATCGAGCACCCTATGCTAAGGGCAATCCTTACATACCTTCGACCTGGTATTCATCTTTACAAGAGAAAGTGGTCGGCCGAGGAAGCCAAGCGCCTGTATGTAGGTCTTTGGGACAATGTGGTGGACGAACTTAAGGTAAGCCTATCATTGAATGTTTTCATTTCATTCTCATCTCTATCTTCTTTGAGTTCTCTTTAATCGTTTCTTTCTTAATGCAATCATGTCTCTCAGGCCCTCACGAGTATGTTCACGTTGATACAAGACGTATGGACTGTCTCTCGCAACCGACACGCCTTCATCGGAGCCTTAGTTGCTTTTGTCGACAAAGACTGGAAATTTGTCATACGCCATCTCTCTCTGAAGCTTGTCGCGTGGCATCACCATGGTGAATGGCTTGCTGCTCCACTAGCCACGGTACTCAAGAAGCACAACCTTTGCAATAAGATAAGTTCTCTATTATTGTATATCTTCTCGTTCGATCTGTCACTGACTGTCGGTTTCAATATAATACATGATAGCAATGGCTTCAGACTCTGGATCAAACAACTTGACCTTGGCGACCGAGTTGCAACAGCAGTTCCTTCAACACGATGCTAGCTCTCAGTGGAATCCGACCACTATGCACATATTCTGCATATGCCATAAGACAGGTCTTATTGTACATGCTGGATTAGATGCACTCGGAATTCCCCCTAAACGACATCGACATGCAACTTTGGCTTCTTTTCCCAACATCGATGCAATGGAAAGTGTGGCTGAGGAAGATGAACAGATAGAGATTGATTTCGACCCGCGTGAAAAAGGTAATGAGGATTCCGAAGATGAAAATGATCAGCAAGATATCGGCAAGCCTTTAGATTCAGATGATGAGGACAAACAAGAGGACACTCTACCTGAATGTGGACCAGATGATGAAGAGGATGCTGAGGACCCGGATCCTCCTCAAGAATCGGTAACCCGTGCCAAGAAAGGACTGCCTCGTACTCACATGGCCCGATTGATCAGGAATGTAAGTCCTCAATCTAATGTAATGGATTCCTATCACTATCTCACACTGACGCTTGGTTTGTTTAGCTGAACATTGTCAATAAGAAACTTACTCGGTCTGCTGCCTGGAGAGAGGACTTCAATCTACGTCGCACCATTGTGAACACCAAGCGTAAAGAGGAAGGGCGACCGGCTCTCCTTGCTCTTCTAGCCGAGTATGGTGTGCGATGGAACATTGAGTTGGACCGTTGGGAACGAATGTATGCTGCACGTGATGTATGTATCATGGACTTCATACGTATGTATCTATGATGATAAAGTTGAATTTTTCTTTTTTCAATCATTTTGTCTTGAAGATCATCGATGAGATGATGAAAGAGGATCTTGCAAAGGTACACGCGAAGAAACGTTGCCCACGCAAGAATGCAGCCAAACATGGTTATTTTCAAGAACTCGTATTCTTGGTTGGTGATTGGGAGGCTCTCCAAGAGATTATTCAGGAGTTGATCGCGAGTCATTTCCACTCTATCTTACCATTGACTTAACTGACTCATCTTTGCATAAACAGCCCTTGCGAGCCTTGTGTCGCAGAATGGAGGGTGATAGCCCAACAGGTTCTATGGTTATATACGAGTATGCTGAATTGATGAGCTCCCTTATCGATCGACTCAACTCTCTCACAGAAGAAGATCCGATCTATCCGATGATCAATGAGATGTCACGACAAACTATGATCTACATGGACGAAGCTTTGGCCTGTGACTTGCTGGTTCTAGCAGCTATCTTTCACCCGAGTTTCCGGCTTGGATTCTTTTCCCTCACATTCGGAGAAGATGACGTGATGACAAATCACGCTGAAGATTTACTTCGTGCTCGATTCAAGGAGCGTAAGGAAGAAACCGATCGCAAGACTTCATCCAATTCTGATGAAATCATAGAATTATCATCAAACTCGGTCAAAAAGAAGGTACCCAAGGCATTCGAGCTTTACCAACACGCAAACACTTCGAACGATCTAGGTGAATTAGATCGCTACCTTCAAGGATTAGACCCACTAAACTCTCAAGATGTGGACCAACTGATGGATCCAAACTGCGCTCTTGATTGGTGGAGGGTTTGTTTGTCTCTTTTTTCTTTCATCAACTGTGCATGATCAACTGAATGTTTGTTTGACTGCATACAGGAGCACGAGGGGAAGTACCCCATCCTGGCATCCTTAGCTAAGGATTATCTCAGTGTAACTGCTTCATCCGCTCCTGGAGAACGCCTTTTCACGGTCGCGGGGCAGGTTTGTACAGCCAACCGAGCCTCTATGAGACCTCGATCGATTGAAACAACAGTTGGTGGTCGAATGTGGTCTAAACAAGGAGTCCCTCTACCACGTGCTTTCAGCAAGGTAAACAAGGTCCTTGAGTATATTAACAAACAAAAAGGCAAAAGTGATCGACTTGATACAATCGACTCAATTACATCGCCCCTATATT